CCGATCCCGGGGGTCCTGAGGGGGGATCCACCCCGATCCCACGGTCCTGAGGGATCCACCCCGATCCCGGGGGTCCTGAGGGGGGATCCACCCCGATCCCGGGGTCCTGAGGGGGGATCCACCCAGACCCCGGGGGTCCTGAGGGGGGATCCACTCCAATCCTGGGGATTTCCGCAGGGATCCACCCCAAATCCTGGGGATTTACACCAGGGTCCATCCAAAATCACGGAGTTCCTGAGGGATCCATCCAAATCCTGGGATTTCTGAGGGTTCCACCCAAAATCCCAGAATTCCTGATGGGATCCACCCCAAATCCTGGGAGTCCTGAAGGGATCCACCCCAATCTAGGGAATTTACACAGGGATCCACCCAAATCCTGGAATTCCCTGGAAAACCCCTGGAATCCCCTGGAAAACCACTGGAATTCCCTGGAAAACCCCCTGAAATTCCTGGGTTTCCCTGGAATGCCCTGGAAAATCCCTAAAATTCCTTGAAATTCCCAGAATTTCCTGAAAAACTCCCTGAAATTCCCAGAATTCCCTGGAAAACTCCCTGGAATTCACTGGAAGCCTCCTGGAACCCCCTGAAATTCCCTGGAAAACCCCCTGGAAATTCCCTGAAATCCCCTGAAATTCCCTGGAAAACCCCCTGGAATTCCCTTAAACCCCCCTGGAATTCCCTGGAAAACCCCCTGGAATTCCCTGAAATCCCCTGGAATTCGCTTAAACCCCCCGGAATTCCCTGGAAAACCCCCTGGAATTCCCTGAAACCCCCCAGCATTCCCGGCGTTCCCTGGAACCCCCCGGCATTCCCGGCATTCCCCGAAACCCCCCGTCAGGAGTTTTGGGGATTTTTCGGGGGGGTAGTTTGGATTTTTGAGGGGTTTTTGAGAGAGTTTTTGGGGGATTTCTGGGGGGATTTTGGGGAAGTTCTGGGAGAGATTTTTTGGGGAATTTTCAGGGATTTTTGGGAATTTTCAGGGATTTTTGGGAATATTTTGGACTTTTGAGAGGGGTTTTTGGGAATTTTTGGGGTTTTAGGGGAGATTTTTGGGAATTTTCAGGGGTATTTTTGGGAATTTTGGGGTTTTTTTGGGAGAATTTTGGGGGCTTTTTTGGACTTTTCAGGGATTTTTGGGAATTTTGGTGGTTTCTTAAGGAATTTTTGGGTCCTTTTTGGAAATGTTTTGGATTTTTGAGGGGAGTTTTGGGAGTTTTTGGGATTTTATGGGTTTTTTTTTTAATTTTCAGGGGTTTGAGGGGTTTTTTTTGGAATTTTCGGGGGTTTTGGGGTGGATTTTTTGTGAATTTTGGGGGCTTTTGGGAAATATTTTGGATTTTTGAGAGGGTTTTTGGGAATTTCTGGGGGTTTTGAGGGGATTTTTTTGGGAATTTTTGGGAGTTTAGGGAATTTTTGAGACTATTTTGGCTTTTTTGGGAATTTCTGGGGGTTTTGAGGGGATTTTTTTGGGAATTTTTGGGAGTTTAGGGAATTTTTGAGACTATTTTGGCTTTTTTCTGGGAATATTTTGGGGGTTTGGAGTGGTTTTTTGGGACTATTTTGAAGTTTTGGGAGGTGTTTTGGGAATATTTTGGGAATAATTTGGGAATATTTTGGACTTTTTGGGGGTTTTTTGAAACTATTTTGGGGTTTGCTGTTTTTTGTGGGAATATTTTGAAGTTTTGGGTGGGTTTTTTTTGGAATATTTTGGTTTTTTGGGAATATTTTTCAGTTTTGGGGGTGAGTTTTGGGAATATTCCCGTTTTTTTGGGGGGATTTGGGGCAGTGGGAGGTGAGAATTCCTCGGGATTTTTGGGAATTTTTTTTCCAGGGGGAAAATCCCTTCACGGATGATCCCGAGGAGAAGGAGGAGCACGAGGAAGGGGAAGGAGCAGCCGAGGAAAACCCCCAAAATCCCGAGGAAAATCCCCAAAATCCCGAGGAAAATCCCACAGAAAATCCTCAAAATCCCCAAAATCCCACGGAAAACTGGGAAAATTCCTGCCAGAAATGGGAGAATTCCTGCCAGGAATGGGGAAATGCCCGCCAGAAATGGGAAAATTTCTGCCAGGATTGGGAAAATTCCGTCCAGAAATGGAAGAATTCCTTCAGGGATGGGAAAATTCCTTCAGGGATGGGGAAAATTCTTCTGGAGTGGGAGAATTCCCACCAGGAATGGGGAAAATTCTGCCAGGATTGGGAAAATTCCTGCCAGAAATGGGAGAATTCCTGCCAGGAATGGGGAAATGCCCGCCAGAAATGGGAAAATTTCTGCCAGGATTGGGAAAATTCCGTCCAGAAATGGAAGAATTCCTTCAGGGATGGGAAAATTCCTTCAGGGATGGGGAAAATTCTTCTGGAGTGGGAGAATTCCCACCAGGAATGGGGAAAATTCCTGCCAGGATTGGGAAAATTCCGTCCAGAAATGGAAGAATTCCTTCAGGGATGGGAAAATTCCTTCAGGGATGGGGAAATTCCTGCCAGGAATGGGGAAATTCCCACCAGGATTGGGAAAATTCCTACCAGGAATGGGAAAATTCCTTCCAGGAATGGGAGAATTCTTCTCAGAAAAGGGAAATTTCCCTTCAGGAATGGGAGAATTCCCGCCTGGAATGGGAAAAATCTGCTGGATTGGGAGAATTCCCACCAGGAATGGGGAAAATTCTGCCAGGATTGGGAAAATTCCTGCCAGAAATGGGAGAATTCCTGCCAGGAATGGGGAAATTCCTGCCAGAAATGGGAGAATTCCTGCCAGGAATGGGGAAATTCCCGCCAGAAATGGGAAAATTTCTGCCAGGATTGGGAAAATTCCATCCAGAAATGGGAGAATTCTTCTCAGAAAATGGAAATTTCCCTTCAGGAATGGGAGAATTCCTGCCTGGAATGGGAGAATTTCTGCCAAGAATGGGAGAATTCCTTCAGGGATGGGAAAATTCCTGCCAGGAATGGGAAAATTTCTTCTGGGATGAGGAAATTCCTTCAGGGATGGGAAAATTCCTGCCAGGAATGGGAAAATTTCTTCTGGGATGAGGAAATTCCTTCTGGAATGGGAGAATTCCTGCCAAGAAGGGGAAATTCCTGCCAGAATTGGGGAAATTTCTGCCAGAAATGGGAGAATTTCTTCAGGGATGGGAAATTTCCTGCCTGGAATGGGAGAATTCCTGCCAGGAATGGGGGAATTTCTGCCAGAAATGGGAGAATTCCTTCTGGAATGGGAGAATTCCTTCTGGAATGGGAAAATTCCTTCTTGAATGGGGAAATTCCTGCCAGGAATGGAAGAATTCTCCTCAGGAAAGGGAAAATTTCCCTTCAGGAATGGGGAAAATTCCACTCAGGAATGGAAAAGGGATGAAAAAAACGGAAAAATGATGGAAAAAATAATGGGAAAGGGTTGGAATAAAGGGATTTGGGGACACCGTGACAGGATTTGGGGGCCCTGAGGGGAATTCCTGCCAGGAATGGGGAAATTCCTCCTCAGGAAAGGGAAATTTCCCTTCAGGAATGGGGAAATTCCACTCAGGAATGGAAAAGGGATGAAAAAAACCAGAAAAATTATGGAAATGGGATGGAAAAAATGATGGGAAAAGGGGTGGGCAAAGGGATTTGGGGACCCTGAGGGGATCTGGGGGCCATGAGGGGATTTTGGAAGATTTTCCTGCCTGGAATGGGAGAATTCCTGCCAGGAATGGGGGAATTTCTGCCAGAAATGGGAGAATTCCTTCTGGAATGGGAGAATTCCTTCTGGAATGGGAAAATTCCTTCTTGAATGGGGAAATTCCTGCCAGGAATGGAAGAATTCTCCTCAGGAAAGGGAAAATTTCCCTTCAGGAATGGGGAAAATTCCACTCAGGAATGGAAAAGGGATGAAAAAAACGGAAAAATGATGGAAAAAATAATGGGAAAGGGTTGGAATAAAGGGATTTGGGGACACCGTGACAGGATTTGGGGGCCCTGAGGGGATTTGGGGACAATTTGAGGGGATTTGGGGATATTTTGATGGAATCTGGGGACATTTTGAGGAGATTTGGGAATGCTGAGGGGATTTGAGGACAGCGTGAGGGGATTTGGGAACACTTGGAGGAAATTTGGGGACCCTGAGGTGATTTGGGGACATTTTGAGGGGATTTGGGGATGCCGTGAGGGTGTTTGAGGATATTTTGAGGGAATTTAGTGACATTGTGAGGGGATTTGGGGATACTGTGAGGGGGTTTGGTGACCCTGAGGTGATTTGGGAACACTTTGGATGCCGTGAGAGGGTTTGAGGATATTCTGAGGGAATTTGGGGACACTGTGAGGGGATTTGGGGATACTGTGAGGGGGTTTGGTGACATTGTGAGGGGATTTGGGGACCCTGAGGTGATTTGGGGACATTTTGAGGGGATTTGGGGATACTGTGAGGGGGTTTGGTGACATTGTGAGGGAATTTGATGACTCTGAAGGGATTTGGGGACATTTTGAGGGGATCTGGGGGCCCTGAGGGGACTTCGGAAGACCATGAGGGGGTTTGGGGACATTTTGAAGGAATTTGGTGACATTGTGAGGGAATTTGATGACCCTGAGGGGATTTGGGGACACCGTGAGGGGGTTTGAGGACATTTTGAGGGAATTTGGTGACATTGTGAGAGGTTTGGTGACATTGTGAGGGGATTTGGGGACCCTGAGGTGATTTGGGGACATTTTGAGGGGATTTGGGGATGCCGTGAGAGGGTTTGAGGATATTCTGAGGGAATTTGGTGACACTGTGAGGGGATTTGGGGATACTGTGAGGGGGTTTGGTGACCCTGAGGTGATTTGGGAACACTTTGAGGGGATTTGGGGACCCTGAGGGGATTTGGGGACATTTTGAGGGGATTTGGGGAAGCCGTGAGGGGGTTTGAGGATATTCTGAGGGAATTTGGGGACACTGTGAGGGGATTTGGTGACATTGCGAGGGGATTTGGGGACCCTGAGGTGATTTGGGAACATTTTGAGAGGATCTGGGGTCCCTGAGGGGATTTGCGGTCCCTGAGGGGATTTGGGAACGCTGTCACTGAGGGCTGGGGACACTCACTGTGAGGCACTGGGGACATTGTCACTGGGAGGGGCCGCTCCGGGCCCGTTTTGAGGCCGGTTCGGGGCCGGGCCGGGCCCATTCCGGGTTCGCTTCGGGGCCGCTCCGCTCCCGGCCCCGGGCACTCCATGGCGACCCCTCCTCCCCTCACCGCCGGCAAGGGGCACGCCCCGCGGCGCCGTCCAATCAGGAGCCAGAACGCCCGTGATTGACAGGCCGTGCCCTCAGGGAGGAAGCGCCTCCACCAATCAGATCGAGGGCGGGAACCAGTCGGACCAATAGGAGCTGTGGGTGGGCCGCGCCGCTGAGGAGATCAACCAATCAGAAGTGCTGTGGGCGAGGCCAAACGGGAGGCGGGCGGTGCCGCGCGTGCGCAGGCGGCTGAGGCGGGCGGTGAAGCGGCGGCGGCGCCGGGCGGACGCGGCAGCGATGGAGCCGGGATACGGTGGTAGGTGCCTTGCGGGGCGGCCCCGCGGTACTGCCGCTCCCCCGGGGTGACGGTGGTTCCTTCCTCTCGCTGCCTCAGGACCGGCTCCGTTACCGGCGGGTGCCGGGGGGGGCTTCGCCGCAGCGGGAAGCGCAGCGCCCGCCACCCCGTGAGGCGCCGGCGCCGCTGATTGGCTGAGCTCCACGTCACTCACCGCTAGGGCGGCGCTGATTGGCTGTTAGGGGCTTTGTTGGAGGGGTCGTGCCCTGAGGGCGACGGGGGGGGGGGCGGAAATGGCGCCGGGCCCATTTCTGAAGACGACACAAAATGGCGGCCGCGGCTCCGCCCCCGCCGCCTGTGCCTCAGTTTCCCTCGTCCTGGCCCGGCCCAACCGTGGCGACACCCGGGGGGGCTCTGTCCCCTCTCAGGAGGATCCCCCTTGGATCACCTTCTGGATCTCCCCTGGAAATTCCCTCCTGCAATCCCTTTAGGATCCCCTCAGGATTCCCTCTGGAAATTCCCTCAGGATCTCCCCTGAATCCCCTCAGGATCTCCCTGGAAGTTTCCCTGGATCCCCTCCAGATTCCCTCTGGAAATTCCCTCTGGAAATTCCCTCAGGATCTCCCCTGAATCCTCTCAGGATTCCCTTTGGAATTTCCCCTAGATCCTCTCAGGATCTCCCCTGGAAATTCGCCGTGGATTCCCCCTCAGAAATCCCCTGAATCCCCTCAGGATTCCTGCTGGAAATTCTCTGGATCCCCTCGGGATTCCCCCTGGAATTTCCCCTGGATCCCCTCAGGATTCCCCTTGGAATTTCCCCTGGATCCCCTCAGGATCTCCCCTTGGAATTTCCCCTGGATCCCCTCAGGATCTCCCCTGGAATTTTCTGAAAATTCCCTCAGGATTCCCCTTGGAATTTCCCCTGGATCCCCTCAGGATCTCCCCTTGGAATTTCCCCTGGATCCCCTCAGGATCTCCCCTGGAATTTCCCCTGGATCCCCTCAGGATTCCCCTTGGCATTTCCCCTGGATCCCCTCAGGATCTCCCCTGGAAATCCCCTCAGGATTCCCTTGGATCCCTTCAGGATCCCCCTGGAATTTCCCCTGGATTCCTCAGCCTGGCAAAAGGGATCAGGAGAGGGCAATCTCACCCTGTTTTGTTTTGGTTTTTTGTTTTTTTCGGCCCAACCGTGGCGACACCCGGGGGTGTCCCGTGACCCCTTCCTTGGGGGCCTGTGCCCTCCTCAGGACGTCCCGTGGTCCCTCCTGAGGGGATCCCGGTCCCCTCCTCAGGGAGATCCCCCTGGAGTCCCCGCCTTGGATCTCCCCTGGATCTCCCTCAGGATCTCCTCTGGGAATTCCCTCCTGGAATCTCCTTAGGATCCCCTCAGGATTCCCCCTGGAAACTCCCTGGATCTCCCTTCAGGATTCCCCCTGGATCTCTTCAGGATCCCTCTAGAAATTCCCCTGGATCTCCTCAGGATTCTCTCTGGAGATTCCCTCAGGTTCCCCCTTGGAAATTCCCCTGAGGATCCCCCCCGGAAATTCCCCTGGATCCCCTCAGGATTCTCTCTGGAAATTCCCTGTGGATTCCCCCTCAGAATCTGCCTGGATCCCCTCAGGATCTCTCCTGGAAATTCCCCTGGATCCCTTCAGGATCTTCCCTGGAAATTCCCTCAGGATCTCCCTGGAATTTCCCCTGGATCCCCTCTCAGGTTTCCCCCTGGGTTTTCTGAGGATCTCTCCTGGAAATTCCCTGGATCCCCTCAGGATCCTCTCAGGATTTCCCCTAGAAATTCCCTTGGATTCCTTCAGGATCTCTTCTGGATCCCTTCAGGATTTCCTCTGGAAATTCCCCTGGATTCCCTCAGGATTCCCCCTGGATCCCTTAGTAATCCCTCCTGGAATTTCCCCTGAATTTTTCAGCCTGAAAAAAGGAATCAGGAAAATCCACCCTGATTTATTTTTTTTAATTATTTATCCGAGGCTTGGCTTCTTTTCCAGGCTCACTTTGGATTTCAGGGCTGGGATTTGGGATCAGGGCTGGATTTTGGGGCTGGGATTTGGGATTTGGGCTGGAATTTGGGACTGGGGCTGGGTTTGGGATCGGGGCTGGATTTTGGGATTGGGGCTGGGATTTGGGCCTGGATTTGGGATCAGAGTTGGAATTCAGGATTTTGGCTGGATTTTGTGATCAGGGCTGGATTTTGGGTGGGATTTGGGGCTGGGATTTGGGATTTTGGCCTGGGATTTGGGATCAGGACTGGATTTTGGGGCTGGATTTGGGATCAGAGTTGGAATTCAGGATTTTGGCTGGATTTTGTGATCAGGGCTGGCTTTTGGGGGGGATTTGGGGCTGGGATTTGGGATTTTGGCCTGGGATTTGGGATCAGGGCTGGATTTTGGGGCTGCTTTTGGAATCAGGTCTGGAATTTAGGGCTGGATTTGGTATCCGGGCTGGAATTTGGGGCCGGATTTTGAGATTGGGGTTGGATTTTGGGGCTGGATTTTGGGATCAGGGCTGGAATTTTGGGATCAGGGCTGGATTTTGGGATCAGGGCTGGATTTTGGGATCAGGGCTGGATTTGCTATCCGGGCTGGAATTTGGGGCCGGATTTTGAGATTGGGGTTGGATTTTGGGGCTGGATTTTGGGATCAGGGCTGGAATTTTGGGATTGGCTCAGGAAAAGTGGGAATTTTCCCTTCCCTGCTGACATCTCCTCCTTTTCCCCAGGCTATGGCACCTGGAGCACCGGGGCCACCGGCACCCAGGGTGAGATTTTCCCAGCTTTTCCTCAACTTTTCCTTTTTTCCCTCTTCCCCCCACTTTTTTTCCCATTTCCCCCCCATTTTTCTCCCATTTCCCCCTCATTTTCCCCCTTTTTTCTCCCCATTTTCTCCTATTTTATTAATTCCCCCCAATTTTTCTTGCATTTTATTATTTTTTCTCCCATTTCCCCACATTTTTCTCCCATTTCCCCCCTTTTCCCTCTCATTTTCCCCCCATTTTATTTATTTCCCCCATTTTTCTCTCCATTTCCCCCATTTTTCTTGCATTTTATTCTTTTTTCCTCCCATTTCCCCCCAAATTTTCCTCATTTTCTTCTCATTTTATTAACTTTTTCCCATTTTCTCCCCATTTCCCCCCATTTTTCTCCCCTTTCCCCCCATTTTTCTCCTATTTTTTTCCCTTTCTCCCACTTTCCCCCCGTTTCCCTCTCATTTCCCCCTTTTTCTCCCCATTTCCTCCTGTTGTATTAATTTTCCCCCCCAATTTTTCTTGCACTTTATTATTTTTTCTCCCATTTTCCCCACATTTTTCTCCCATTTCCCCCAATTTTCCCCCATTATCTTCTCATTTTATTATTTTTTTCCCATTTTCTCCCCATTTCCCCCCATTTTTCCCCCCTTTCCCCCCATTTTCTCCTCTTTTTTCCCATTTTCCCCCTTTTTCCTCCCACTTTTCCCCCCTTTTCCCCATTTTCCCACCCCTTTTCCCCCTCTTTTCCCCATTTTTCCAATTTTCCTCTTTTTCTCCCCCTTTTTCCCATTTTCCACCCTTCCCTCCCCCCCCCCCCCCCCCCCCCCCCAAACCCTGCCCCCCCCCACCCCCCATTTTTCCACCCTTCCCTCCCCGTCCCACCCCAACTCCCAAAACCTCTTCACCCCCCAAACCCTTTTCCTGCAAAACCCATCAGAATTCCACCCAACCCCCCCAAATCCCCCCTTTTCCCAGAAACCCCAAACATTTCAGCCCAAATTTTATTTTTTTTTCCATGAAAAATTCCCATTTTTTCCAGGTTCCTATGGCACCAACACGACCAGCTGGCAAGGTGGGTGTGAGGGCTCAGGATCTTTGGGAATCTGGCAATTCCCAAATTCCCTAATCCTGCATTTTCCCCCTTTTTCCTTCTTTTCTCCCCATTTTCCCAACTTTTTTCCTCCTTTCCCCCCACTTTTCCCCTCATTTTCCCCGATTTTTCCCTCATTTTTCCCATCCCTTTTCCCTTTCATTTCCCAATGTTTTCCTCTTTTTCCCTCTTTCCCTCCTTTTTCTTTCCTTTTTGCCATTTTCCCTTTTTTCCCCCCATTTTTACCTTTTTTCCCCTTTTTTTCCCCTTTCTTTTCCCAATTTTTTCCTCCCTTTTTCCCATTTTCCTCCCTTTTCCTTCCTTTCTTCCCCCCTTTTCCCTCCCCCTTCCCCCTCCCTTTATTCCTCACTTTTACCAGTGCTTTTCCTGCTGGGCTCCCCCACCTGCAATTCTTTAATTAATCCCCTAATTAACCAATTAACTAATTACTCCCCATGCTACAAAGGCTCTGACTCCAGAGCCCAAAACCCCTCAGATTCCTTTGGAATTTTTTTACTTTGGAATCATCCCAGAGCTTCTCCTGCTGGGCTCCCACCCCTGTAACTCTTCAACTCCCCCCTTAATGACCCTCTAACTAATTAATTAATTAACTAATTAATTAATTCCTCCCCAGGCTACAAGGGTAAGGAGTTCTACACGCCCCAAATCCCCTTGGAATCCTCCCCGAGCTTCTCCTGCTGCGCTCCCACCCCTGTAACTCTTCAACTCCCCCTTAATGACCCTCTAACTAATTAATTAATTAACTAATTAATTAATTCCTCCCCAGGCTACAAGGGTAAGGAGTTCTACACGCCCCAAATCCCCTTGGAATCCTCCCCGAGCTTCTCCTGCTGCGCTCCCACCCCTGTAACTCTTCAACTCCCCCTTAATGACCCTCTAACTAATTAATTAATTAACTAATTAATTAATTCCTCCCCAGGCTACAAGGGTAAGGAGTTCTACACGCCCCAAATCCCCTTGGAATCCTCCCCGAGCTTCTCCTGCTGCGCTCCCACCCCTGTAACTCTTCAACTCCCCCTTAATGACCCTCTAACTAATTAATTAATTAACTAATTAATTAATTCCTCCCCAGGCTACAAGGGTAAGGAGTTCTACACGCCCCAAATCCCCTTGGAATCCTCCCCGAGCTTCTCCTGCTGCGCTCCCACCCCTGTAACTCTTCAACTCCCCCTTAATGACCCTCTAACTAATTAATTAATTAACTAATTAATTAATTCCTCCCCAGGCTACAAGGGTAAGGAGTTCTCCGCCTTTGCCTCGGGATCGGGATCCGCCTTTGCCTCGGGATCGGGATCCGCCTTCGCCTCGGGATCCGCCTTCAGCCAGGGATCCTCGTCGGGCCCGGCCGAGCCGCCCGGCTCCAACCCCGACTCCATCATCGCCAAGATCAACCAGCGCCTGGACCTGCTGGCCAAGGAGGGCAGCCCGGGGGATGGCCCCGAGCAGCACCACAGGTGGGAGCTCAATGAGCTTAATTAGCCCTAATTAGCCCCAAATCCCCCATTTCCCCCCTCATTCTGGGGTCATTTTTTGAGGTTTGGTCCCAAAGTTCCGGTGTTTTCCCAGGGTTTGGAGTGGTTAGGGAAGGTTGAACCTCAAATTTTAGGAGTTTTCTGGAACAATTCCCAGGATTTTTAGGGGATTTTGGGAAAGACAAAGAGGTTAATCTGAAATTTTAGGGTTTTTCTGGGAGGGTTCCTGGGATTTTAGGGAATTTTGGGGAATTTTGGGAACAGGAGAGGGTTTAAAAGCAGCCAAGATCAACCAGGCCTGGACCTGCTGCCAAGGAGGGCAGCCCGGGGGATGGCCCCGAGCAGCACCACAGGTGGGAGCTCAATGAGCTTAATTAGCCCTAATTAGCCCCAAACCCCCCATTTCCTGGTAATTCCTGGAATTTGGGGTTCTTTCTTTTCCAGTTTGTCTCAGAATGCCAGCCCTAATCCTGGTTTTTATTCCAGGATAAAAAGGGATCCTTTCCCCCATTCCCAGCCCTATTCCTGATTTCATTCCCATTTTTCCAGGATAAAAAGGGATCCCAGCCCTAACCCCGATTTTATTCCCATTTCTCCTGCCCTAATCTCAATTTTATTCCCATTTTTCCAGGATAAAAAGGGATCCTAGACCCTCATTCCTGGCCCTAATCCTGATTTTATTCCCTTTCTTCCAGCCCGAATGCCGATTTTATTCCCATTTTTCCAGGACAAAAAGGGGTCCAAGACCTAATCTCAATTTTATTTCCATTTTTTCTGCCCTAATCTCAATTTTATTTCCATTTTTTCTGCCCTAATCTCAATTTTATTTCCATTTTTTCTGCCCTAATCTCAATTTTACTCCCATTTTTCCAGGATAAAAAGGGATCCTAGACCCTCATTCCCTGCCCTAATCCCGATTTTATTCCCTTTCTTCCAGCCTTAATCCCGATTTTATTCCCTTTCTTCCAGCCCTAATCCCGATTTTATTCCCTTTCTTCCAGCCCGAATCCCGATTTTATTCCCATTTTTCCAGGATAAA